GTCTATATTACTCGTGAAATACAAGATCTTACTACTGTATATTGTATCAGATGAACCACTCAATCATATATACATGTACATTCACTTATGCAGAGTATTCTCGTATGCCGCCTTACATATACAGTACCGGGTATATTTATGGTAGTTAGTAGTACTTAAAATTTTGTCCAAATTGGGCAGTCTCATTATCATTTTAAGCAATATTTCCTAGCCATTTTTTTACACTTGTGTGGGTAAGCTGCGATTGCCTTTTGGCAGCGGTTTGCCAAACCAGATATGGGCTGTCCCTCCCACTTCTCCTGCTCGCGTCCACAAACCCAAGGCATCAGCCAAGAAAATGCAGTAGAGACCCATTCACCATAGAGCATGTTGAAGTAAATTTTTCCAGCTGGATGGCCTTCCTAATGCCAACCCACGGGGTTGAAAATGCTGAACTATAGCTACTTACTCTATAGCTGTCAAATTATGCACTGCTTAAACATCCTAGTTGTTTCCTGGTACGTATATTAAAAATCTCCATTATGGCACAGCTCTTAACATTGTGAAAAATGCCACCAAATGGACTGAAGTTTTGGAGAGTCAGAATTTGGTCTAATCAGGATTAAGATAGAAGCAATAATATAACTGGATAAGTGATGATTGTGACTTAACTCAGATAGGATAATTTGGAGCTTACAGCATTTCACATGTTAGGTTTAGTAAATGCTTCTCAAGGCTGAAGTTTGGTGAGGGTTGTCAAATGGAGTTCAAAGGCAGTTCATTTAATCATTGGTTTCATAATACTGCAGCTGTTAATTAGAGGTTAGAGTTGTGGATAAACTTTGAGATTTGTTTTGTTGTATTATAACAAAATGTGGGTGGTGGTGTACTATGACTGTAATATGCACTTTAACATTCACCTTTGAGGCAGATAACTTTTTGGCTTTCTTATATTTCTTTCATATAATGATACTGTACTATGCTGCTGTTATTGTATTTCCCTTTAAAAAAGAATGGCTTAATGATAGGCATGAAAAAATATGAATTCAGGGAGGAGTAAAAAATTATCTGAAGTGGTGCCTCGTTTGGTTGGTATACAGTAGTGAAACAAACTTTCAAAGGATATTTGAAACTTTCTGAGTTATACACTGGAAATGAAACTCAAATGAATGTATGGACAAATGTGCAGACAGATGGATGGATGTACAGTTGGATGTATGGGTTAATGTACAGTAAACCCTCCAGTTTGGCGACTAATTGGTGCCAAAAAACCATCGCCAGACCAGAGGGCTTAATCCAGTGGGAAAAAGCCTAATTGGTACCGAGGGGCAAGCCAAAGTCTAAATTTTTTCCTATTTTACCCACATATAACCTATATTTTATTGCTGAAAGAGAATGAATAATTAGTTAATCAACATAAACATAGAAAACCAATCTTAAGATTTTAAGTTGAGGAGCTTAATGTTCACTAAGCTGGTATCCAAGGCTAACATCCGTCGCCCCCCACCCAAGCCTCCAGTCTCTCCCCTTCCCCCTCCTCCACCACTGCCTTTGCCACCACTAGATCAAAGCCTTCAAAATAAAAGTCCTTTGGTAAGCTCAATCATATCCACAGTCTTTCTCTTATCCTCAAATGAGTACTTTTCACTATCTTCCCAACCCGATACTCAAGAGAATTTTTTTTCTTTGTTTTTACCCCATCATTTGAACTGTCTGGGTGCCCAGACGGTCTTTCACCACCACTATCATCCCCTCCAATACCCCAGGTACTTTTGAGGCCATTAATCCGCATGAGAACACTGTGCCAAGCGAGAGTGAATAAAAAAAATGTACACAAAGGCCAAAGTCACTCGAACAAACAGCGGGAATGTGGATTGATGCGGTCAAAATGGTTGCCAGAACAGCTGACTGGCGCTTTGAGCTCGGTAAATGCTCACCAGTAGAATTAAGCGAGATTTATCTTGCACTTATTATTCTACAATTATTAGTTGTGATTGCATTTAAATTTAAACTCCCGCCAGAGGTGAGGGTTTGGTCGCCAAAATGGAGGGCAGGGTACTTTGAACTTTGACCGCCGACTTCGAATTCACCAAACTGGAGGGTTTACTCTACCCATTTCTATAGCTCCATAGGGGAGAAGAACCTGTATTTCAGAGCCTTTATCTAAGATCTCGAAAACCTTACTTTGGCTTGGAGACCTCTCTAACCCCCCCCCCCAATTGTAATGGAAATATTTGAGACTATTTTGGGTAGTGCCAATTTTCCATTGCTCTTTTGGCTTACAATCACATTTCTAGGATTAGTGAAGTGAATGGGTAATACAGTAATTTATAATATTTTGTCACCCTATATTTAAAGGAATTGGTTGATAGTAAGATATTAAATAATATGTCAGTAGAAAGAAAAAAAGAGCTTTATCCAAGTGTTGTGTAGGATTCTATTAAGATATAGATTGTGGGAGTGAGGGAGCATATGTTTTGATGGGAGTGTATTGGTGCCTTGGTGGAGCAGGCCTTCAAGAGAGGCAATACAATCATATTGTGTGAAGATGCATTATGGACCAGTTTGTTGTGTACTGGAAGTTGTCGTGTTGGGTGTAGACAGATAAAAAAAAAGTTTTTCCAACATGAACTTTAAAGATGAATTTGATCATTATTGTAATTGCCCTTAAGGCAATCATGCACTCATGGGATAAGTAGACCCAGATACGATGACTCGATAATATAATTCGGTCAAACCTGTCAAAGACAATTATTACAACATCAGTAAACATTTGATATAACATTCCTTAATATAATGAACTTAGTATGATAATACAACTAGAGTGGGATATTAAGAGCATCCCTTAACGTATTGTAATTGACACAATAATATGCTGGTGGTATCTCGTATATACAGTAGTACCCTGATTTACGTGGTCAATTGAACCCATGGGGTACCGCGGAAAGTGAAAACCGCGTAAAGGTGAACAACAGAACATATGGGATTAATTCCAATAGAGACTGGCCCGACCCCCTAACTCCACTTTTTCAGACACAATACCTACGTTGTAGTAAAAATAACATCTTAATTTTATGATGGTATGCACACACAATTAATAATTAAGAGAAATATCAATAATATTAGGTTTTTTAACACTTACATAAGTAGAAAAGATGGCTGGGCACACGGGGATGGGGGGTTGGTTCCGAGGCAGAGGGCAGATTATTGGCCCTCACCTGTATCATTTGTATCAATTGTATCACTATCCACCACATAAGCTTGCAGGGCCTCTTTGTCAAACCCCTCAGTCATATAAGTCCATATCTTCACTATCACTGACTTGGGCCGGCTGTGGTGGGTGGCGGGTGAAGAACTCAGTAATGTTTTGATGACTTGGGCGACCTTGTGCACATCCTGCCCGCGCCGCTTCCCGTGTATATACCGCGTAAAGTGAAAGTCCGGTTCTGGCGAGGTACCGCGTAAATGCGAAATCGCGGAAAATGAAATTGCGTAGAGCGAGGTATTACTGTACACTAATGTTCCATAAACGGACTTACTTATTTTCGGGTCTTAGAGGAGTAGGGTGTTTCCTGTATGGCTTCAAAGCGTGTTCTGAGCCCTCCTAGCAGGGTGATGGGTGTATGGCATCTGGTTCATATTGACAGATAAGCACATTCAGCGTCTTCACCATATCAACACCCGCTAAGCCTCACTCCTCTGATACATCCTTCCTACTAACCCTGCTACCCAGTAATTGCCGAAACTTAAATATTTCCTGGTTCTTCCCTTTGGCGGTAACAATTATATTTATATATTTTGCCAGTAATGGTTGCTATTTGTCTATCTGTTATTTTAATACAGTACAGTATAGTCTGGATTTATGCTGTCATTTGAACCTGTGGAGGTCCGCGTAAAACGAGAAATGCATAAACGAAATAACAGAACATATGGGATTAATTGAAATAGAGACTGGGCCGACCCCCAAACTACACTTTTTCCGACACAATAAGTATGTTGTAGTAAAAATAGCATCTAAATTTTATGATGGTGTGCACACACAATTAATATTTAAGAGAAATACAGTCACCGGTTAATGTCCATTCAAATAATGGACTCAACTCTTCCCCCCCCCCTCCCCTTCCCATGCTTGCTGGCTCCACCCTCTCTGAGAAATGTTTGGGGAAAAACAGTATCCTTACATTTTTAGTAATAAATAATACCTCATTAGACTAAAGTTAGGATAATATAATTGACATTGCTGGATTCCTTGCAAGACATGGAATATTTTGAATATAAACATCATATATTTTGCACAAAAGATAAAATTTTTGCTCTTTCTAATAAAATTCTTAAATAAGATCTAAAGTTTGTATGTTTAATGCAAATTTTATGAAGTTTTTATTTAAAATAATCAATCTTATAAGAATTCCAGCAATGTAAATTATATTCTGCCGCTTTCCCCCCCCCTCTTCCCACGCTCGCTGGGTCCCTCCCTCCCTCCCTCCCTACCCTCCACCTTCCCCTACCAGAGAAATGTTTGGGGAAAAACAGTAGGCTTACATTTTTAGTAATAAATAATACCTCAGATTAAAGTTAGGATAATATAATTGACATTGCTGGATTCCTTGCAAGACATGGAATATTTTGAATATAAATGTCATATATTTTGCACAAAAGATAAAATTTTTGCTCTTTCTAATACAATTCTTAAATTACATCCAAAATTTGTATGTCTAATGCAAATTTTATGATGTTTATATTTAAAATAATCACATTCTTATTAGAATTCGAGCAATGTAAATTATATTCTGGCCGGGTAATTTGTATGAATTTTGAGCTAAAACAAATATCTTCAGTAAATAAACAAATTATACTTCACCCGCGTAAATGATGAAATTTACCGCGTAATTTAAACATTTCATTCTGGCAAGGTGCCGCGTAAATGACCAAACGCGTAAACAAAAACCGCGTAAATCCAGACTATACTGTATAGTAGACATTTTGTGGATGTGATTAAATGTATAATGCCACTCCTGTAGATGAGACTTGTTGTCGCAGTATGCCTACTAATGAGGCAGGAACTGCAACAGCAGAGGGCCAAAGAAAAGTATGTGATGTCTGTGTACATCCAACTAACAAACCCAGCAGTCCTGAAGAAGAACAATGCACCAACCCCATTTCATGGTAAGAATTATTCAGTTGATAAAGCAAGTGACCATAAATTTTAATTTCATATTATTGTCCTAGTTTTTACTGCATGGTCAGTGTACACATGCTATCCATCTGTCTGTCCATTAGCAGTCTACTTATTGAATTTGTGCCTGCAGGAGTTAAATGAGTGTAAGAGAACCACTGTAACCCTTATATTTTCTGAAATCCCATAATGTCTAGATGTGCACTAGATAGTAAAATGATGAAAATATGTTGCTCATTATGAGCAGTTGCATTACTAAGCTTTAGCATGTAAACACTTAAGTAAGCATGCAAGATACCCAGTGTTATATCTGTAAACAGTATGCTGAGTGAGATTTGTAGTCATGCACCAGCTAGTCAAAGGCCAGCTTTATGGTGTGTTTTTCTAATTTGACTCAACATTCAAGAAAGAATCTTGAAAGAGGAGAAGTACATCCAAGTAAGTTTTGAAAAATCTGCCAAACAGTTGTTGGGAGAACATGAGAAGCTTCTCAGGGAGTTACAAGGTCACTTGTCTTGGTAACCTGAAAATGAATAAGAGCTACTGTATGAAGAACCACCCAGAGAATTTTTAATTCAATCCAACAGCGAGACAATGGACTGATGGTGCAAGAAACAGATTCAGTTGAAGTTAAAGATAAAAAGATAGGATTGGTTGAATTTGGTAATATTTAAAAAGATATATATATATATATATATATATATATATATATATATATATATATATATATATATATATATATATATATATATATATATATATATATATATATATATATATATATATATATATATATATATATATATATATCTTTTGGATGTAAGAATTTGTAGATACAGAATGGTGAATAATTTTAAAAACCCTGAATCAATAAGGTGCATCATTAATGTGCATATATCTGAATCAATGTCCTGGGTTCAAGTCCTGGCCCAGGACAGACCTGAGAAGGGTGTTAGCCAGTGTGACCCTACCAAACGTCACTGGTTTCTTCCAGGTACTCCTGGTTCCTCCTGCACTAACACTGGACAACAAAGTAACAAATAACAGACCAGCTGCCCAAATGGTTAGAAGTTGATAAGTGGTGAAATGATGAATTTAAAATCAATGATGATCCTGATATCCCATATTTGATCAGGAGGCGAGTGGCTGAATCACAGCACAGGGCGGCCTCGCTTAGCGTCGGGGTTACGTTCCTGAAACCGCGATGTTATGCTGATCAATTTTCCCCATAAGGAATAGATAAAATACGGGAGTTACGTTCCTCAGTCTCCCTTTGCCCCATGAAAAGAGTTACATATACAGAAAATCGTTGCCATTTCTGTAGAAAATAGTATATAGAACTACAGTACTAAGTTTGTATTGGTACTCGCTGATGGGCGGAGGTGGTAGAGTGAGTGTGGTGGGTAGTGGAGCGAAGGAGGGTGGTGAGTCACTGAGACTCTGCGGTTGCCTCCTCCTGCTCTGACTGGGGTTCCTCCGCTGCTGCTTGCTCCTCTGTTGATGTTTGCTCCTCCTCCATTGTTGTTTCTTCCTTCTCGGCTGCCGGCTGTTGTGAAGAAGCTGCTTCTGCCGTCCCGCGGCAGAAGTTATAACGACGCTTAAATCGTCGAAACCATCATCGGCTGGCCATAAAGGTCTCTTCCTTCGATCCTTCACCCTCTTTTGCCTTTAAGTTGTCAAACAAGGATCTGGCCTTATGCTGGATAACCATAAGGCTCAGAGGGGCATTGCGTTGATTCTGGTCCTCCATCCACATTGCCAGTATCTTTTCTACCTTCTCTATCACAGTGCTTCTAGTACGAGTCGCCTAAGTAGCACTCAGAGAAGAACTACTTCCAGCACTAACCTTAATCTTGTCAGCGTTGGTCTGGGTAGTACACACCGTCGTTGGGGTTAGACCAAGCACAGCGGCTATGTCCACAGCACGTTCCCCTTTTTCAAATCGGGTTAATACATCCATTTTTGTAGCAAGGGTAATGGTCTTACGTTGCCCCTTCACTACACTAGCATCAGTAGCACTTGATGGGCGCTTGGAAACCATTTCGAATAGTTAGAGTACAGTTTTAGAGCAAAAGCACTTGAGCACACACGAATGATGTGAAGTCGTAACATAGACTGGCTTGGCGTTGCTTGGGGACGCTGTGACGTTCCGTGAGTGAGGGCAGCGCGCCGAGCTGAGAGAGCTTAGCGCGGCCAGACAAGAGCGGGTGATGCGCCGTAAAAAATAGTCCGTGATGACGTCAAGCGACGTAGTATCTGATCACCGGGATGTTAAACGAATTTTTGGTCTCTAAAGTTCAGCGACGTAGTACCGAAACAACGTTAAGCAGAACGACATTAAGCGAGTACTTACTACTGTATTTGTATGACAACCATACTCCTCATGCGTACAGGCCAGCACTTCTATCATTGTTTCCTCTCCAATCATACCTGAATATGTAAATTTTTAAAAAGAATTGGGTCTCCAAATGATATAAATGTTGCCATTAACCCAATCCACCTATTTGCTCCCCCCACCATATTTCGACCTTAGAAATATGGAAAAATAGTGAACAAAATTCTGTAATTACCAGGTTGGCTGTGGCAGAGAGTGGAAAATGAAAAATGTGACTCGGTTTGTTGTGACAAATCTGCGCACTTACTCCAGGCCTTTGTCACTTGTGATTTCAATTTCATTTTTTTTTCATACGTCCCATGAGTATTGATAGTCCAAAAAACACAGTTATGTCTTACCACTTGTGAGATTTGGCTTGAGGACTGACAACTTTGTGTCAACATATTTCTCATATTTAGTGGTTTCGTCCACTATAAGTTGCACCAATTCTTCATCCATGTAGTTAATGAAAAAATCTAGTTCACTACTTTCTTCTGTTGCCGACACTGTCACTAATACCGCAGTTTGTATCATCAAAATTGTAGTCATTGGGGTTGAAATCGTTGCTGTCAGTCCACACAAAAGATTCAGGTAGTGGGTGAAGTGCTGTGGCTTGGTATACCCTCCCCACGACCTCCTGTCTGCTTGCGCCAGTCAGGTGGGGTGTTGACCTCATTGCTTCTTTCACTATCATTTTTCTGTTCAGCATCACTTGCAGTAATTGTGTAATCACTACCATCACAATCATCATCACTATCAATGTCACTTGCTTATCAGAACATGACACCGACCATAAAATGTTCGTGGCGTGGTTGGGAGAGTGGTGGGCAAAGCTTCACCCACGTCGCTAATTTCTGGCTCACTCACTGTCTGTCAATATACTGTATTGTGTTGTCTGTGACTACCCTTGGCTGCAAGAGTTTCGTCAACCCTTTATGGGTTGAGGGATTTCAAGCTCTTGGAAGTATGATGAGGAGGTGGATAAGCACTCCACACATGACTGGTGGAAGGTTACAGGTCAATCTCTCTCAAGTGTTCTGAATAAACTATCTCTCATTGGCTAATGGGAGCAACAAAGCATTTTTTTGGTTCAAATGATAGTCAAACTGCCTCCAGTCATCATGATCTACCTATACAGTAAGCCCTCTGTTAACCTCGTGGTTGCATTCTTGTAAACTGCAACGTTAAGTGAAACAATGTTAAGGGCATCAATTTTTCCCATAAGAAACGAGAAATAAGTAGGTTATGCTCCCAGCCTCCCTTCACCCCATAACATGCATCACAATTAAGACACTGTAAACACAATTCACACTCGGCAGAGTTGTAAGTGAGGCTGATGTCCCGCGCTGACATTGTACAGCGTCGCTAGGAGGGCGAGGAAAAGTGTTGCACAAAGCAAAGTGGTACCGTCTGACCAACAATATAATAATGATTTTACACAATGTTATGTGGAGCTTTGGTATAGAAATGTATCAATGTAATAATGAAGCAATGTTAACTGGGACAGCAGTAAGCAAGGACTTGCTGTACAAACATTGTGGTCAGCAGCCAAGACCTAGTTCCACCACCCTTCATTACCCTGCCACCCAAGTGCCAAAATTAGACTTGCTCCTGATTGGCCCATGTGGCCTCCTAGCAGCCACTATGGGATATGATCTGGCAGGAAAATAGTCACACAGCCTACTATATCCCGCCAATACAGTTGTAACTGTTGGCACGAGAATTGGTGAATCATTTGATGCCATGAGCGTGGAGTGGGTTAAAAGCAGAAAGATCATTGAGCTATTGGTAATTGTATTTTAGAAAAAAAAAAGTCACTCTTAATACCCATAGATTTTAGCAACAGGACTTTAGGTCACTTTCACCTGAATATGGCCACTATTCTCCAGATTTAGCTACTACTTAACACTCAACAAAGAAGGTGGGAAAACCAAGCCATTCACTCAACAGAATGGGATTTCAGTATCAATCTTTGCTTTTATCACAAGGCTATATGGATGGATCACAGGTGCTGGTAATCTAATGATCATGCTTAATGCAGGTCTCTTTCTCCTGGTCATGATTTCTATTTCTTAAGGTGGTGTTGGCAAGTTCTGGCAATAGGTGGTACCAGTATCTCTCATTAGGGGCCCTAATATAAGTGGGATAAATACAATACGTATACTCTACTGTAATTTTAATACTGTGCTAATTTACACTTACCTGATCATTTGTTAATTGCAATAAGTAGGTTCCAGAAACCCCTTTATACTGTGCAGGTACAGTGTAGCAAAATTCAATAATACCATGCACGGTCTCCATAAAACTACCCTTGGAATGACTTTTTTTCAATAAATGCCTAAATAAGCAGTGTGATACATAATGATTATCAGAATTATACCAGAGAATTAAGTATCGGGTAAACAAATAATAGAATACAGCTCCTCCCCAACTTACGACTGGGTTCGGGACCCAAATCCAGGTCGTAAGTCGAAAATGGATAAATAATACATAGAAAATCTAAAATGGTTCTCTTTTTCTTCTCAGCACCACAAAACTCTCACTTTTAAGCTTGCCAGCCATTTTAAAGTGAATTACAAAAAAAATTTTTGTCTGTACTGACGTTGGGACTCGAAAATATGTAATTTGACAAAATTTTGGTACGATTGAGGCAGGTCGTAAGTGCGGGTGGTTGGAAGTCGAGTAGGTCGTAAGTTGGGGAGGAGCTGTATAGTACAATATTATGCTAGATAAAAATTTACGGTGAAATTGAAAGTTTCCTTATTTTGAAATACACAAGAAAAAAATCTTTTAATTGCTTATCCGGTAGATGTTTGTATGCAATTATTTCTTTAGATATTGCTCCAAATTGTGCACAATAAGTACAAAAATTATCCATAAAATTTGAAATAAATACCAGAAGATTGTCAGAAAGTGAGCCCCACAACTGTAATGATCTGATGGAGTTGAACAGCTAAACCTCCATCATAAAATGAAGCAAGTGGTCTGTATTACTCTTGACTAACTTCATTTCCCCAACCAAGTTAGGTACCCACTACTATGTTAAATTGAATAAGAAAACCCCAAGAATGAACCAAAGATCCTTGGAACAAGAGGCAAATGCTGCTCCACTCAGCTATCACACCTTTTCTCTTAATTACAAGTGGTTTACAGGTATCTACAAATTGTGAGGAAGACATTTTTCTTTAGATTTACCATGGAAATATTTTGGAAAGGGTCAATTGGATAGATACTGCGTAGAAGGTATGTATGTTTTCGTACCTGGTAATGGAATTTTGAGGGTTTGGGCTCTTTCTAGGTCTAAGTTTATTTATCAGTGTGATTAGAACTAAGTCTCCTGCCATAGTTTCTCCATTACATGGGAGATGAACATCTTGGTAACAGGTTAGTTATTGAAAGTATCACAAGGGTTTTGTCCTTCCCTTAAAAGAAATTTTGGAAGTGTGGATCTTGTGCAGTTATGGTTGTACAAGTACTTGTTGCTAGGAGCATAGTGTTGGGGCATATGCTTCATCTGGGAATGCCTTCTATTCAGGGGCAAAGATCCAGTATCTTCATTTCTCATTCTTTTCCTGTGAAGTGTAGATGGTGGATTGTTTTGCATTTCTAGACAATTGCCATATCTAAGGATTTGCTTGATTAGTTCACAGTACACTTTGCCTTCGTTGAGTGGATGCGTCTTCTGTGACAGGAGTAAATGGGATACCTTTACATTTCCTCTCTCCTTTTCCATAAGAGTAAGTCATATTGAAACTCCTTGCTTGGTACAGTAGGGTTATAAGCTCCTTCAACTTTGCTCATAAAGTTTTTCCTTTTACATCCAAACTTGGGTCAGGTAGTAGGAGAGGACAACTCTTGTCTCATTGTCCTCATTTCTTTAAGTTATAGGGTCTTTTGAAGATTCTTTCTAATGAAGTGTGCCGAGAGGTTGCAGAGTGATAAACCACATTAGTGACTGGGTTATGGGATTAATGTAGTCAGGAATTAGTTCCGTCACACTCTCATATTTGGAGAGGATAATTAGCCTTTGCTTAATTGGCATATGATGCTTAAAGTGCCTCTGTTCCTAGGCTATAGTTGACATAGGAGGGAGATTTTTTCTTGATTTCTGGAATGAGAAACGAGGCAAATTTGTTTCTAGAGTATTTTATTCAAAACCATTGTCAGATCTGAAACTGCTATATTATATAAAGGATTTTTATGTAGGTAGAATTTTATTATTGTATTACTATTTGTCTAAACTAGGCATTCTCCCTACATGCCTTTAAGATTTTTTAATTTGCACGTAACTTTCAAATTGTTGCATGTATTGTTTTAATAGTGTAGTATTGATTGTAAGGCAATTAAAAAAAATGCATTTCAGTGGTTGAGTTACTGTTAACCTGTGTATTTCTCTTGATGTAGGGAAGAAGAATCCAACTTGCTCCAGCATGTTAACAGCCTCATGACTGTGTTCAGTGATTCATGCCGTGAATTGGTGCTTCAGTACAGTCCCTGGGAGCATTATTCTGTCTGCTGCCAACGAAATAGTACTCCTGCTAAGGGAAAGACAACACACACCCAGAATACTGAAGAGCAAAAAGAAGAATTTAAAAGTGTGAGTAATTTTTCTACCTCTACATGTTCAATAGTATCTTTTCTCTGATCCTATACATGTGAATTTGATCAAGGAAAAAAGAGAAAATGGTGAACAAGTACTGCACTGTATATTAAGCTGAAGAAAGTCACAGTAGTGTGTCAGAACAAGAAGTTGGAACAATCATGGTTTGATCGCTCCTGTTCTCTTGCATGTAGGTAGAGAGAGAGAGAGAGAGGGCATATCAAGTTATGAAACTATCCTCCTATTACCCACTCCTCTTTCATTACTTCTAGGAATCACTGTAAGGCTATTCTTCGTAGGGCCAAGCGGAATTTTATAAAAAGAAAGACCGCTGTCCTTGCTAACTTTTCTTCAAGTAAATCCTTCTGGTCTTAAACCAAAAACATGTTATAACTAATGCACTCCCTCTTTTCCTCCTCTCTTCCAACCTGATAATTATAGTTAACTCTCCCCCTGATAAAACCAATCTCTTTGGCACCTTATTCTCCTCTTACTCCACCTTTGACAATTCGAACTGAACCTATGCACTTTTCTATAATATCCACTCGTAGGGTTGCTGGTATGTTATCCAGGTTGGATGCGAGTAAGGCACATGGACCGGACGGAATACTCCCTCGTGGTCTGTGGGAGTGCTGAAGTTCTGGCCCCTGTGCTTGCTCCCCTCTTTTGCCTTTGCCTCAAAACCCAAACTTTTCCTTCTTCTTGGAAGCATGCCTCGGTTCAGCCCATCACGAAGAAGGGTGACCATTCCAAACCCTCTATCGCCCCATTGCCCTAACTTCATCCCTCTCTAAGATTTTTGAAACTATCTTAAACTCGCATTTTCTCAGTCACCTTGAACGCCATTCTCTTTGGTCGGATCACCAATATGGCTTTCGCCAGGCGAGATCTACTGGTGATCTGTTCTCCTATTGAACCCATCTCTGGTCATCCTCTCTTAGGGATTATGGGGAAACTTTCGTCATGGCCCTTGATATCTCCGAAGCATTTGACAGGGTATGGCAAAAGTCTTTACTTTCTAAACTTCCCTCATATGGTTTCTCTCCCCCACTTTGTTCTCTTATTTCTAGCTTCCTTGAGAACCGATCCATGGCAGTTGTTTTTGAGGGATCGATCTCTCTCTTTCTCAACCAATAATGGTGTCCCACAGGGTTCTGTTCTATCACCTACTCTCTTCCTTCTTTTTATCAATGATTTACTTCACACTACGACTAATTCTATCCATTCTTACGCTGATGATTCTATTCTTCACTCTTCTTCACATTTTCCCCTTCCCCCTAATTCTCATACTAGATCTGTTTCTAGAGCTGACATTACATCTATCAATGCTGATCTGTGCAGCATCTCCGAATGGGGAGGTAGAATCTTGGTTAAATTCGATACTGTAGTAATAAAACTCAGTATTTACCAATTACACTTTCCAAATTGGATGATCTCCCACCAATCACATTTCAGGATGCAATCATTCTGCCAAATTCTAAAATAGATATGATAGGCCCCACCATTTCCTTTAACACACCTGTATGTCATGGAAGCCACACATCCTCAACATTGCTAAAGTTGCCTCCCGAAGTTGGGAATGCTGTACAGATGCCGAAGCTACTTCACTCCTGAGCAGTTTCTTTAAGTATGTAAGGGGTTCATTTGTCCTAACTTAGAGTGCTGCTCTCACTGGGGTGGCTCTTCTGTCCAATTGTTAGATAGGGTGGAATCAAAGGCATTTTGTCTTATTGACTCTCCTCCTTTAGTTGATAATCTTTTTTCCCTTTCTCTTTGCCACAATGTTGCTTCACTCTCTCTCTTTAACAGGTACTTTAACGGGCAATGTTCGGTGGATTTGGCATCCTGATGTGTACCGCCGGTAAGGCCGTGGGCTCGCAACACTCGTCTTGCCTGCGGTGCCCATCGTTTCTCTGTGGATATCGGTCACACTAGAATAACCCGTTGTAGTACATCCTTCTTTCCTCACACGGCCAAACGGTGGAATGCTCTGCCTACTTCTGTGTTTCCATACTTTTACAATCTGTCTCGCTTCAAAAAGCTGGTTTCCAGGACCAAGTCCCAGGTTGCTGATCTGCCTCATTTAAACACAATTGCAGGATCTCAATTGTTTCTCTTACTATTGACAACACAACACAAATTGTTTCACTTTTCATTTTTTTTTTCATTTTTGCATTTCTTTATGGTTCTTTATTATTATTATTATTATTATTATTATTATTATTATTATTATTATTATTATTATTATTATTATTATTATTATTATTATTATTCTCATTATTATTCTCATTATTATTATTATTATTATTATTATTACATTTCATTAGGCCCGATGTGGGTCAGTGACCTGTGCCTAGGTGGGCTAATCCCCATAAAAAAAAAAAAATCTTCGTGGTGGAGATTAATTTAATCTTTTTCTTTTCTAATTATAATTTCATTTTACTCTTATTTTTTTTGCCACCTCGGCCCCGTTGTGGGTCGATGGATGACCTGTGCCCGGGTGGGCTATTCCCCGTATTAAAAGAGAAAAAGAAAAAAGTACAGTACTGTACCACCTATATGTGTATTTCCTCATATCGTCGACATAAAATATACTACAAAGTAAACTTTCAACCTCTACTGGTATATTGGTTGTGATGCGGTATGATAATTCCTGGTGTATAATTAGTTGAGTTGACATGGCCAGTTGTTCATTTTGGCACTCCCACACTTGAAATAACTGTTGTACTTGATCCACAGTAAATATTTTTAGTATTTACTGTGTGTACATTTTGACCTCGCTCATTCACTATCCTGTCTTCACCCCTTCATCTATATTACCTGTTAATTTTTTTGTCATCCTCTTGCTTTTATATCTTCAACTACTGTATGCTGTCAAAAATCTTCCTTGCTGATCTCTAGCCTACCATGAACTCCATCTACCTGTACCACCATAATGCACTCTTTCATGAGCTCAAGTGCTTTTCAACCCATTTCTATTACTTCATTCCTTACTCTAATAATCCTCTAAACTCCCAAAATACTGTATTTCATGGGCTGTCCATTGCTTTTATTCTCACTCGGTCCATGACTACTCTGAACCACCAAAGTCTTATATCTACACTTGAGATTTGGAATAAAGCTCTCCATCATGTAGGAGTGTAGTGGTCATGTGGATTCAATGCTTGTCTCCTGTCCCAGGGATCACTGGTTGGATCTTGGGGTATTCCCAGTTCATCCAAATATAATTGGGTACTTAACTTTACAAGTTGGGGAAGTGAAGGTGGCCAAGTGCAGTGCCATTCATGCTGCCTCCTTGTTTAAAGAAGGCATAGTATGAAGTATGCTATATTAGATGTAAATTGTCAATTGAATTTGTGAAGATAATGGGTAGTGAGAGAAAGCAGAATTGAAGGAGTGACCCTGAAATATCATTGTATGGCTGAGCCTGTAACTAGGCAACTTATGAATTATAGCCATGAGTCTCACTAAAATGGGGAACCATTGCTTTCATGACTTCGTTATGATGGGGCAGGAATAACCAATTTGTGAATTACTGGATAGTCCAAGTTTATGATGTTTAAGAGTTAATATTTAATGAAAGGCATTGGCAGCAAGAGAAATTTGGAATGAAGAGGAATCAGTCAGAAAGTCAAATATGATATAAGAATATTTGGAGAATAGTATGGTATCTGACTACTGTGTGTATATTTTATTAATTATGAAGTGCTGTTCTTGGTTTTATAAGATAAATGTTAATTACAATTATGCTAATAACTACTGAACAGGTGGAGATTGCAGTTGGGGATGATCGTATAGAAAAGCTTGTTGTCTTGGCTGCAGAAGATCAGTGTAAACGTCTTTTCCATGGCGCTCTATTAGCTCCTCCTGCACTTCTGAAGGATCAACATCCAGCACCTGATGTAACTGGTATGTATAGGTGATTCTTGTATGTTATCTTTTGTAATTAAAATTTGTGGTCCCACAGAAATATATTATCACAATGCCTGATCATTTGCCTCCTTACTCATTTTTCTTGTGGCCAGTCCTCCAAACACCTTGTATGTCTTGTTTAAGCCTAGTAGTATGTAGATGTTTCTTTGGGCATTTAAAATTTTTTTCTGATCCTACAGTCTGTGGATTTCATAATTTTTCAGGCTTTGCATGCCTGTGGGTTTCATAATTTTTCAGGCTTTGCATGCCTGTGGGTTTCATAATTTTTCAGGCTTTGCATGCCTGTGGGTTTCATAATTTTTCAGGCTTTGCATGCCTGTGGGTTTCATAATTTTTCAGGCTTTGCATGCATGTGAGTCTCATAAATTTTCAGTCCCTGCATGCTTGCTGGTTTCAAAATTTTTCAGATCCCACTTGTGGGAGCACTGTATTTTAGTATATAGTGCTTGAGTTCTGGTTATCAACCACACCTTGTGTTTGGTTCCTGAGAAGAAACTAAAGAAAAACACAATGGGATATTTATATCTGTGTGGATGTATTCTAAGTGATAAGGAGAGTGATTAAAGATATGACAAAAAAATCTGGTTCTTTGTTACCTGTGTAAAACAAAGCTGAAGGTCAAAAGAGAGGCAAGTTGAAGACCAGTGAAGAGAGGAAAGTTAGGAGTGTCAGAGAGAGTAAGAGTAAAAGGAGTGGTGATGCCGAGTGATGAAATGGGGAGTTTTGTGATAGATTAAAATGGGTCAGTTTCTGATTATTAAGGATCAGATCTGAAGTATGGAGAGAAAGCTGACTTATATGGAGTACATAAGCCTCTGCAAAGGAGAAGTTAGAAGTAAGAGGTTCTGGGAGGACTTGATAACTATTTTGAAAACTCGTGAGAAAAATATTGATAGTGATGGGAAATTAAATACTGTACTGTATAAAATTTCATAATTAGGAAGTGGGGCAATTTTTGGAAAATATGAAGTGCCAAGAATGAATGGAAATGGAGGAAGAGTGTCTGTTGTTTTTGGTTCTGTTCAGCCTATAGTGTAGTGGGATAAGGCTTTCAAGAGCAAAAAATATAAAAAAAATATAAATTCTTTAAATTGCAGGTCTGGGATGCAAGACAAACCGAACACTGTCATTTGTTGCACTGGACACCCTACATCACAAAGATGTAGCAGAGAGACTTGGAGTTAACCTTACCACTAAGGACCTTTCCAATACAGCAGCTGTTATTGTGGACCTCCAGAAAGAATCTCATTTCATCATGGATGCCAGTTTATCCAAAATGACATTAGCTAATTTCATTATCAACTACACACATGGGCTCCTGGATAGGTAAGATATATTTTGTGCTTATATTGAGAATTTTGTTTCTGTTTTTACTCAATTCATGTTACGTATCTTTGTCTGTACCATCTCTAACTACTGTATACTTTAAGGCATTCTATGTGGAAGATAATAGCATTCACACTATTTCATGCCTGTAGTCCTTTTGCCCACATATTATTATACTTTGTATTTGAATGTCTGCATCTTTGTGTAGACATTGTCATGCTGGGTATTTTGATAGTACAGTACAGTAATTTTGTAAAATCATATTTTCTTCAGTTTTCAAATGAATTTTACAGTTATTGTGCACACCAAGATTGCTTGCACCTATGATTTTTTGGCAAATAGGTATGACTACATAATTAAATTTCACAATTCAATATAGAAAGTAAGATTCATTTCTATTCCCTGAGTAGGGAAAAAAACGAGGCTGTTGCAGGAGGAGGAGGAGGAGGAGGAGGAGGAACTGTCCGAGATTTATTGTCTTCACAATTAGTCACAACCAGAGGAAATATTACAGTGATGTCCCTGTTAGCTGGAACAATTGGTGCAGAGCTCTTCTGGGGATGAGAAGTTTTTGGGTATACAAGATACCTCTCAAATCCGGGAAAAATCCCACACCCCTGGGAATTTCCCGGATACTGGGAAAAGGTTCCAATAGTCTAAACTACACTACTCACACAGACAGACACTACCGCACATTCCCGGAATGTTTCTGGGTGCTGGGGAAAGTTTCCGAGAGTCTAATAGTCTAAACCAGAGTTGTAAAAAATACTGGACTTTGTTACTTAAGTAATAGTGTTGTTACACTGGCAAAATGTTACTCAAGTGGAAGTAAAAGTATCCAAATGTCAGTGTACTCAAGTAGAAGTAAAAAAGTATCTCATTCTTAAAGTATTCAAGTTCTGAAAGTAAAAAGTAGCAACAAAATTATTATTTGTCTCGAATATTAAAATAAATCCACAGTACTAAATTATAAAAAATAGTTAACTAAAGATAAAAATAAGACACAGCATAACTCGTGTTTATTTTCAAAATTATGGTTGTCCAATCAGGATCTTTTAGGCGTTAATACAAGCCCAGCATGACCTACCGAAAGAGAATACTTTCAGCCACTCTACTTCTAACAATCACTTTCTTCCTTATCCACACAAGTATTCTTTATGTGAACTTATGGTCTGCAGACCTAATATTGTTTCTGCTCACAATAGGTTAGGAGACCTGTCTGCCATGTTAGGGACCTCCTACCACGGAGTCATTTATTCGTAATAATTTAAATTTAATTCTTGCACGCTACCCATGCTTTGGTTGGTTTTTACTCCCATTGTCCGTAAATCATATCAATATTGTCTCCATATCTAAAGTCATAGTGTGTCATACGAGACATGAGTACCAATGTATTAGTGTCTGATCGCATGGTCTTGTGACTAGACTTGTTGCCCCCTGGGGTGTAGTGAATTAATTAAATACTAAATAAGCCTAATATGACAAAACAGATGCTCACAAGCAGCACATGCTGGTAATGGGATGTTAAGCTTCAGAGATAAGTCACATTGTTGGGAAAGACCTCAGTAGCTCCATTCCATCCCCTGGGCATTCCAAGTAGCTATCAAGCTCCTTCAGTTGAGGAGTTTGTGGATTATTGTTGTCTCCATAATGAGTGAGTTTGACTAAGACTCACTGTGAACTGTCTCTAATGGGGTGTGACTGTTGCGATGTCACTCTTCGATTCTAGTTGCTGAGCGGCTGAATTTTTCACACCACATAACATCTGGCAGGTGCTGGCGAAGGGTACTTAGTTATTTAAGCAGAATTTTAAATACACTTAGTCTCGCACATATATACTGTATATAGATACAGGCTTTATATCGAAGATGGAATTACCGGTATGTAAAGCATTTTAGAATCACTGCCTCATTGAAATTCATTTTAGGTACAGGTATATATGCAAAGAGCAACTTACGTCTAATGGAAAAGTGGGGGAGAAAAGAGGAGATTCAATGGGGGGGGTGTGTGTATGAGGGTAGGCTAGGTGAGGTGGGTAGTCAAGGTGCTAATGGACACAAGAAGATCAAGGGGAAAGTCCACTTTCATGGCCACTATCATATGACCTGAACTGACTTCACCTCCTTTCATGAAACCCCAAGGTATGTGACTGCGTGGTGACTCCCCACACCTTACTCTTCACGGCTCCACCAACACAACTCTTTTATTATAGTTAATTATTAATTACAGGTCTTTAATTAAAAATATATTATTAATTTGCCACAGACATTAAAACTGTTTGTTTGTTTGGGTCATGTAACAAGTAAAGATTTTTGTTTTCTCAATTGTGTCGGAGTAAAACTATTATAAAACCATACTAAAAAAATTGTGAAGATGCACTTTGTGTTTTGGACACATGTGACATACTTATTCAGACAGCGAATTCTGAAGGATTACCTTTGAGGGATCCACAACCATATTAGCTCTTTCTGGTAAGAGATTTGTTTTGACGTACACTGTACTTTTATGATAATTAAGATCAACTCCTAATTTAGGAGATTGTGTCCTTTGCGTTCTCGAACTTTTTTAGCATTTCCTTTTGCCTGTGTTTTAGTTGGCTTTGGATTATGATGAGCTGCCTGATGTAAGGTGTTGTGCCAGAAATGTAGGATTGATCCTGATAACCTTCTTTTGTGGTAGAGCCCACATCCTGGCAGCTAGGATACCATCCTGCCTCCCTTGGGGTTTGTGTCAAGTAAGCGTCTAGTTATCTGGAATTAATGTGTTTTTGATGAGCGAATCCTCAATTGCACAGATACATGGAGGGCACAGATGTTTCATTGCAAACATAAACTACTGTATTTGACAATTTTAATCATTATTTTTACAATGATATCTTACAAATTGCATCAATACAGTTATGCTGTACCCCTTTTTATGATGCCCAATATAAGAGAATTCAAAGTCATTAAAGAAAATTGTATGTTTGTACCAAGCCTCGTTTTATGAGCAAAGAACCCGGCTACAAAATTAATTTTTATTTTTTCGCAGCATCGGAAGCTGCCGAGATGCTGACATAGGCATCTGAGGGCGTTGCGTACAGTACCAGGAATGTGTTTACAGTCATTTTAAATGAAGTATCTGTCAGCCAAAAATTTGGGGACCAAGAGACTTCCATAAAATGGATAATTGCTTACAGAAAAGTGGATACTGTCCTAAATATGTGTCCAAGGAAAGCATGCAATAAACCAGAGTACTTATGCCAGATTGGTTATATTATTAGTCTCCACATACCTGTACAATAACTTATTTCATTATTATATAACACTCGCAATGTTATTAAATCTACATATAAGCTTTCAATGTCACATCATTCATTATTGTACAATTGCCATATAACTTGCTCCTTAAACTCACCTGGAGACAAATGATTCTTTACTCACACCACCGCACACTGTCACACAGCCATTTTGCCTGATTGTCCATTATCTCCACATTTACTCATCTGTAATATGTCTGCCTTGATGATTTTCAGCTTTTGTTCCTGTGTCAATTTTTTTCTTGGTTACTGTGTTTTGTGGTGCAACACGTGTTTACCGAATGCTTTAGAGACCATAATAACAAAATGGAGGGCACTTTAATCCATTTAAAAATGCTAAACCAACAGTGGTGCAGTTTTTTGTCTGATTCTGCACAGTTGTTTTATTTTATTTTTTTTAATGCTGTGTGATGGTGCTCTGTACAGTAGGCTCTCGCCAATAACGTCTAATAGGTGCCTGAAAAACGCCATTATTAGCGAAAACGTTATTTGTGTGACATTAAAATACATGTAAAAAGGGTTTATTGGTGCTGCCGCCCCAAGAATTTTACCCATTTTTTCCCCCTTTGAAGCCCTCCTAACACTTTGTGTTAGCTGAAATAAAAAGAATTGTTATTCAATCATCCAAATAAAGAATTTGAGTAATATAACACTTAGCTTGGGGGAGTTTTTGAGGTGCTTGGTGTGATGATTGTTCCGAGGCTGGGGCATGGAGGCTACTGCGTCAAACCTCCGCCCACTTCCCTGGCCCCATCTCCATCCCCGTCCCCACGCTGGCCTCTCGCACCCGGTTCACCCACTTCCGCTAACACTTCATCAAACCCCACAAAGTCAAAATCTTCAGGCATTTCCCTAATGTCATCAATGTCTTCATGAACTTCAACCTCTCTCTGTTGGTCTTCCTTGGCTGGCCGGCGTTGTGAAAGAAAGCAAGTGATGAGTGACCGCTGCCGGGCATTCACTCGCTTGTTGCACTGCTTCTGGGATTTTCTAGAAATAGATTCTACAAATCCAATCATTTGCTCCCTTTCACCTGAGTCACTCTCAATGTCTTGGCTGGTACAGACACCCAATTAAAGTGACAGCTTCTGTGTCGTCGCTTTCCTCTGCTCGGTCTCCCCTGCATCACTCGCTGCATCACCACTCTCACCTTCTTCATCCTCCAGGAGATCCTCGACATCATTTGTGTTACCTTCTTGCATCAGTTCTTCTAAATCTTCCCGAGTCACTTCTTGAAACCCTGGGGTTGGGATACTGCGGACGGTTTCCAACACTTGGTTCATTAACTCTGCTGGCTGCTGTCTCTTCGTCTCGGCAGACTTGAGTTGTGGCAGGAGTGCCGACCAGGCATGCCTAACGGTTGCTTTTTTAGTATTTCCCCAGGCTTTCACAAAGAAATTGACTGCCTGGCAAATGTTATTTTTCCAGAAGGCAGTAACAGTCATTGTGGAGGTCGCAGGTACGCCAGGTGGAGTAGGGGTGGCGGGGGTTGCAGGTGAGCCAGGTGGAGGAGTAGAGGCGGAGGCTGTGGGTGAGCCAGGTAGAGCAGTGGAGGCGGCGAGGGGAGGACCCTCCTCCTCCTCACTGCTGCTCACAGTTTCAGCAATTTCCTTCACTACTTCTTCTTTATCAGTTTCTTTCCTCATCTTGTCATGGACATATTTGTAGTACAGCAACTTTGCATTTGCTCTGATTTCTTGGT